AACCAGAGGGTGCTCCTGATAAGGAGGTGGCAGGTCCTCTGCATGGCAAAGTGGGGAGGACTCACCCAGAGACACCAGAAGCCTGCAGTTTTCCAGCATCACCTCCTGGTACAGGGTCCTCTGGGCGGGGTCCAGCTGCCCCCACTCCTCCTGGGTGAAAGTCACGGCCACGTCCTCGAAGGTCACAGACACCTGTCAAACAGAGGTAGCAGCATTGGCCTTCTGGCTGCTGAATGGGATCAGAGCTTGTTGCTGCATCTCTGGTAATGTGCAGAGAGATCAAGACCCTAATCACTGAGCACCTCCTGAGGGCTAAGCTCTAGGCTGGGCTGAAGGGAAGGTGGACAATGTTTTGGACACGATACAGTAGCATAAGAGAAATCCCCTAGGAGGAAGCCATCGGAAAGTCACACAAGACAATGGAAATGAGGTGTGGGCTGTGAGATGCGGACAGCAGATTCGAGGACGTCACAGGAATGAGTAAATGACAGTAACAGCATCAATAATGGCGACAACAGCAGTACCTGAGCCTCCCTGGTCCCGCTAGCTGCCTGCCCCATGCTCAGGGCTTCACATCCTGGTTAAAGCGCCTAAAAGTCCCCAGTTCTTTAGTCAGTCTCCTGCGGTCTGCATCCAAACTCTTGAAACCCGACTCTTGTCAGCTGTGTTACCTGGGAGACATCACTTCATTTCTCTGAGCCTTGGTTTCTGGATCAATACAATAATAGTTCCCACTTCTCCAGTAACAGTTGTGAGGCTTAGAAATTATTCAACATTCGGTGTGCTTTGGGACTTTCATTAATTCTTCTACAGCCCTTGAGATAAACATCTCGTTACTTCCCAGCCAGTCAGGGGCCTGAGGCTTAAGGAGCTCCACCAGTTCACCCAGTCTTGTATCGTACAAACCAGAGACAAGACTCCACAAAAAAGCTTACTCCAGTACAGCACATACTAGAGTAACCCGACACTCCTCCATCATCAGTGTGTGCTGAGAAACCAGGCTGTGCAGCATTTACACCAATTTTTGGAGTTAAAGCCACTTCGTCATGCCTGAAAGTACTTCTGTAAACACGGACAGATGGGCAGAACCTTCATCACCGACGTCACAGAAGAGGCACCTGAAGGGGTGGAACTATGGGTAATGATGGCAGGGCCTGGGCCAGCACCCACTCCTTGCTGGGATTCCCCTCCGTCTCCCAGACTCCCCAGGAGATTCCACAAGGAACCATTAGCTTCTTCCTTCCTGAGCTGGTACGGCACTTACCCCCATGCCAGGAATACTTCAGGACCAGGGAGCACAAACGGCTAAGGATAACGCTGGCTTTGGCCACGCGAATAACAGCCTTTGGCCACAATGTCCCTGCTGAGGGTGAGTGGAACATCCGGCAAAAGACCACAGGATCTCGCCCTCCCAAGACACGTCTCGGCATCTAGCAGGAACTCTGGCAAGCGCACAGGACCCCGTGCGCCTCCTTAAACAACCGATGTACCGTGCCTTTGTCCGTGCACTTATCTCGGCCAGGAAAGCCCTGTCCGCCCCCCCTGCCCCGTGCCCGAAGATGGTGGGGCAGGGTGCATCCCTGCAGCACACGGTGGGGCTGGGATTTACTGTGATGGGAGTCCCGACACCTGTTAGGACTGAGGACAAATGAAGCGGCAAACCAACTCCACGTGCCAGACCCCACGACCGCCCCGGCTCCCAGCCCCTTCCGGGACCGTCTCCGCCCTCGAGCAGAAGCAATTCCGAGATCACCGTCCCCTCACCTGTGTCCGGTGGATCGGCGCCGCCGCCATGATGGGTCCCTGTGGGTCCGCCAGGCCGGGCGAGGCGAGCACCCGGGCGGCCTGCTGACCCTCCTCTCTGCCCTGGCTTGGCTGGGCGACCTCGGCCGACTGCCGCCCTCCGGGAAAAAGGCGCGCCGGTCCCGGGCGCCGCCCTTGGGAACTGCGGGGGTGAAGGGCGGGTGCTGAGGGCCCGGAGAGGCCGCGGCCCGGCGGGCGACCAGGCCACACGCCCGCTGAGGAAGTCACGGCCAGTTCAAAGGTACGAGCGGCAGCCCCATCCTCCTGCCCTGCTCCGCCCCCGCGAAAGGCCTGAGTAGCGGCGCGGGCCCACCCCTCAGCCCTCAGCCCTCAGCCCCTCAAGACACGCAGCGAACCACAGAGGCAAATGGCGTCCGCTGTGACCAAACCGGAAGTCCCGCCAACGTACGTGCGCCCGCAGGAAACGCCCCTACGCGAGACCGTCATTGGCCAGCGCCAGCCTCAGACGCAGGAGGCATGGCCTCTGGGTAATGTAGTCTCCCCTGGACCCAAGGCTGAGGAGCGCCTTAATCTGGTGGTCTTCCTTTGGGTAAAAGCCCCAAGATGCCCAGACCTGCCTCGTTACAATGGGCTCAACAGGGGAGGCCCAAGAGTGTCCACGCTGTGCCCTGGGGAAAGTGAGGCTTGCGATGCAGGAACATTGGCCCAGGGTCTGGGCAGGTGCAAAGGGGCAAGACTGGGACCTGGGCTCAGGGCTCACATAATGACTTCTCCCTTCCCTCCTTCTCAGATCCTCTTCTTGAAATCTTGCAGAAGGCCATCTGTGTCCTCCGCTTCTTGTTTGTAGAAAAAGCTTTAGTCACCTAGGCCTCCCTGAGTTCCAAAAAGTGGGCTCAAATGTTAATCATTTAAGGAGTAGAAATGGGAACACTTAAGAGGCAGTCAAGCAAGCAAGGAGATAATTTAAGCAGTAAGTCAAACTGTGGGATGGGATCTTAAGACGCTAGTTCTCCTCCAGGAAAACAGTTAACAATGTCTGATGTACATTCTTAAGTTATTTTTTACAAAAACCAGACTTCCACCAGATGGAAACTGCTGACCTCAAACACATAGACCTTAGACTGGTTGGAATCAGGATTTATAGTGACATTCCTGAAACATCACCCTGCTACCTCACCACCAACCAATGAGAAAATTGTCCATGAGCTGACCATGCGTCCTAGGACCCTCTCTTCTAACTTTGTTTAAAAACACTTGCCTGAAGCCATTGGGGGTTCAGGTCTTTTGAGTAACAGCTGCCTATTCTCCTTGCTTGGCACCCTGCAGTAAAGGCTGTACTTTCCTTCACCAGAACCCAGTGTCAGTAGATTGGTTTTGCTGCAATTTGGGCAGGTGAACCCAGGTTCAGTTTCATAACATCCTGGGGGAACAGATTTTAAAAGTAGCTTCAAAATCCTCCTGACTAGGACACTGGGAAGTCCCATCTTGATATGCTGCACACTCACCTGCCACATTCTCCTGGGCTTTCTTCCACCCAGAGCCTCCTTCGTATGTAGTTGGCCTAGATCACCCAAAGAATGGATTTGCCATCTCCTGGGATGGGGAAGCCACATGTGGAGAGTTGGAGGGAAATTCTGGATTCCAGTATTGAGCAGGGTCAATTTGAAGTGTTTATGAGACCACAAAGTGTCACTTAGGCATTTCAACCTATGACTGAACATTGGGAAAGAGTTTGAGCCTGGACGTATAATTGAGTTATTAGCTTACACTGTTATTTCAAGTCATGACGAGTGAGAGTGTCAAAGGAACGAGTGTAGACTGGAGAAGAAAGTGAACAAAGCATGAGCCCTGGACCAGCCTGACTTCATTAAGTGGTTGATGACAGGAAACAAACTCATGTTAGGGCTTCTAATGTCCACCTAGAGGTATATTAAGCAATTTAAAAAGTCATCATTGGTGATTTTCTTCCCATAATTTTTGAGCTAGGAGAATAAAATGCAGAAAACCAATAGAATGTACATATTTTAGAAATATTTATTTTAAAATGTACATGTATATATATTATGTGTAATATATATATA